AACGAGCGGCTTACTTCCTGGTTTTAGGACGCGTCACTGCACCTCTCAATATGATGCCAATATAAACAAGGTCTTCTGTCGGCTCTGTACATCAATGCCGACCTATGGTGACAAGTAAGTGAAGAGTAGAAAATATAAAAGGTATTGGCTATAGGGAAATGTCCCAGCAGTTTAGGAGAATGAAGGTTCTAATCTAATCTAATACATAGCCATTACATGTCTAACTCCTGATAATGACAGGAAGACAGAAAGCGCATTATACTAATAATAATAATAATAATACTACTCATAATAATAGCAGACATTTTTGAACAATGACCACAATATCATTATTTTAATAAACCAAATATGAACAATTGAGGAAAATGAGGAAGAACTGAAGATTCAAATGTTGTAGTACAAGTAGTAATGTAGTTAGTGCATAAATTACTATTGCAACAAGTGTGTTAATTGTCTTCATTATTAGTCGATTTTTTTAATGCAGACATATGTTGCAGGGACTACTAGAATCATCATACTGGCGTGACTGTAAACATCAAGGGGTTAAATTAAAAAAATGTATGTGTTTTAGAGGACATTTCAGAATATCGCGATATATATCGTATATCGCGATATAGTCAGTAAATATCGCGATATCATTTAGAGACCATATCACCCAGCCCTACGACCACCCGCTAAAATATTATGTAGTGTTACAACAACTTCCTACTTACTCTGAAAAACGTAAACATTGCTAGTACTGTTCTTTTCAATGACAACATGAAACACTTTTGGCATACACCTTATTGTACTACACAGGACAGAGATGTGGTATGGCGGACACAAATGGAGGGTCGAAGGAGGCTGGACAATGTCAGAGTTAATATGATATGTTACCCCATCACAAGGACTTATAAGTAAAGTGTCTCTCCGGTAGGGATGAGGTAATCATCTGTCTTAACACAGCACACTCTCCTTAGAGTCTCTATGCTAGTCCTCATCACTCCCCTCTCTGATACAAGGTCATTCTCTGTGGCTTCATCTTGTACTTCATTTACATTTACTCAACCTGAAGGGTGCTGCACAGCTGGACAAACAGCAGTACAGCCCTGTATCCCCTCCATGCTGCTATGCAGAATACTGTTAAAAAATCGATGGAATCACTGTCAAAATGGCTCTATTTCTTTGTCTGCACAGCGATGTTAATGTATAATGAGAAGAGAATGACTGCCAGAATCGTAATGAGCAATGGACAGCTTGCTCTTTTCCTCAAATGCCTCTTTATTCCCTTCAGTTGCCTGTGAGCAAAGTTTCTAGAAACCATTTCTCATGCTGGAGGTTTAACATGGATTTACTTGTCAATACTCTTATAAAACACATCCTCAGGTGAGACAAATATGCATAAGATAATACCAAATAATTGTAATAACCGTCTGCCCGGAAAATCCACTTGTGTAATACATTTAATTTTACAAAAAAACCCATACAAAGAACCCGGGGATGTAATTCAATTTCACCACTTACTCTACGAACCCTTTTATGTTTTCCAGGGAAAGGAAAAGTCATAGCCATGACATTGACACTTCTGGATTTTTGCCTTTCATAGCTGTATCTCACACTGTTTACACACCCACAATAGACCACTTTGTGTTTTTCCTAAGCTGTAGATCAAACACAACATCACGCCTGATAACACACACATACGCACAGCTCTGTCATTGGCAATGACAGAGCTCTGTACCTTTTTGTCACTGAGTCCGGAGACCGTGTCGATGTATTGCTCCTGGATCATGAAGGCTGCCAGGTTGGCTGTGTAGGAAGCCAGGAAGATGACAGCGAAGAAGGCCCAAACCAGGACCATGATCTTACTAGTGGTTCCCTTTGGATTCTCAATGGGGACCGAGTTGTTGAAAACGATTCCCCACAGCAGCCACACAGACTTCCCAATAGTGAAGGTGGGACCTCCGGGATCTAAACAGGATGAAGTAGAGTAGACAGTATCAGTCTATACATGGTGAACAATGTTGGAGGAAATGCACTCGTCTATTTACAATGGTCAAGATCAGAATGGTCCCTATAATGTTTTTATACTTCCGCCTTTGTGTAAAACTTTAGTCAACTAAAAAAACTAAATTAGTTAAGGTTGGGGGCTACTGCGGTTGAACTAGCTCAGCCTGTAAGGACTTGGTTTAGCAACTTAAGGGTTGCCTGTTTGAAGTTGTGATCGGAAAATACATAGTGCTGTCTGGTAGCTGGAGAGGTGCCAGTTCACCTCCTGCCATTGAGCAAGGCATCAAACTCTAGACTGCTCCCGGGCGCAGAAACAATAACAGCACCTTCTCTCTGACACCTCTCCATTAGTGTATGTTTATACTGTAGGTCCTGTTTGTCTTAATACAAAAACAGCTAAATAAAAACAGACGCAAAACGTCCTAAAATACATAAAACGGAGGTGAGAAGCCATGGCATGAGTTTAGTCCCTATCCTAGCCTTTCTTTATCCATTATAAGAAGCTTTATAGACCACATGGCTTCGAAATGAAACCGGAGTCAATTTTTGCCGGGCATTGATCCAATATGTGGCCACTGTAAAGAGGCTTGGATTTCACATACTCTCCGAATTCCCTCAAAACCTTCAAGACTTTACTATCTGTGATCTTTATATGTGGAACTCCAGGGATGACGATATTGAAATAAATTAATTCAAGCACATACAAAAATAATTCCATATCGTCTGCAGTATGACAAAGGTGAATTCAAAAACAAACAATGGTGTGGCAAGGAGATACTCCATCTAATGTTTGGTTCTGTTTCATGTGCATACAAATGGCAAATGTAATTTAGTTTGCAGAGGAAAAAAGAGACTCGGCACACTGATTGATTTGCAGCATAAAGGCTGTTTGTGCTGATCTGAATCTGTCAATCTGTTCAAGTTCAACAACAACAGAGAGGGAAGACTTACCTTTAGCAGTGACCAGGCTGCGGTTGTATCCAACTGGACTGCAGTATTCAAATATGAAGACTGTGATGGCCACAACAGTGAGACACATGACGAACATCATCACCCACACAGCTGGACTGTATGGTTCTTTAGGGGAAGAGGACATAGGACACAGTCAGACAGAAGAAAGAGTTCACAGAAACACTCCACCTTCAAAGCTCATATGTTGCAAACTGGCAAACAATGACAAATTATTATCATCAAACTATCATACAATTTGTCATATAGGAATTACAAGCAGCTGAATTCCATCCCACCAATACAAGTCCAATAACACTAATTAGTTAGTAATGCATATTGTATTCATGTTGTGAGGGTACATAATGTGACATTATTAATCTATCAGTTGAACAACTGTAATGAGCCAAGAAGGCCAATTTTCATCTGTTGACCCTGGCCAGAAATGTAGATTACACTGCACCCTAATAATGTATTTTATTATATAAGGAATGTAAAAAAATAAACATTAAACACAAAAACATACAAATACAGTTTAATATAAAAATAAATAACCAGTCATGAAAGATTTCAAAAATTAAACATGCATATTACTGATTATTACAATTATAAAGAGTAAGTTGAGTTAAACCGTGACTGTTTCAAGCAAAGAGATACATACCCACATATGTATTCATTACCACAGACAAGTAGGAGTCTCTCACCTAAAAAGGCAGATGGTGAGACAGTCCCATTACTTCGCGCCACCATCACACTGATCCCCGTCTCCACAAATGGCACTGAGAAGTCTATAATCTCTGAGCGCTCTTCGTTTATGGTCAACGAGCCAATGGCCATGTCGGCCCGCTTGTAGAACACCTGTCGTGGAGGAGAAGACAATGGAGATATTTCTTTAGGTGAGATGAGAGTGGCAAAACAGTGGATGTTTTTGTGGCATTACCATAAATTGGACTCAGTGTAACAGCATCGGACAATATACTGGTGACCTTTGAGACAAATCTCATCCATCAGTGAAGTCAAAACCCTCGGCCTCTGTCCCTGAGGGTGATGTTCTGTCTGGTTCTTCCAGCAGCCACACTGGCACTACTCTATTGCCTATCCTAATGTTATCTTGCCTTTTTCTACCACTGGATTGTGTATGCATTAACCACCATCTAATCCCTCTCTAATGCATTATAAAATAGTGGAGCATACAGTATAGCATAATGCCTATTACATAAGGCATGCTGACAAAACATTAGAAACAGGAAGTGGAATTAATCACTGCAGACTAAACGTACCTGGCGATCTGCAGGGTGTCAAACACTAACTTTTCGAAGTTGTTTAAAAAAAAATTAAAGCTTTATTACAGCATCCCAACAAAACCCGACATCCCCCAAAAAATTATTCAACATTTTCTCTCAAAAAAATTACTGTATGCAAGCGAATAAATACATCGACAGGTAGCGTAGTCTTGTGCCAGTTCTGGCTTTGACAGCGGTATTAAAATACCACTAAAGCTGCAACAATTTGTTAACAATTAGTACATTTTCATACAAAAATGTCAGAAAAATACTGTTTTCAGCCCCTTTATTATAAAGATTCCAGTTTTTCTCTTTTTGTAAGATAATAAAGTGAATATTTTCAAAAGAGAAACTAAGGGAACTTTGGTTTTTTAGCCTTTGCAGAGTATTTACATGCACAAAAACAACACACTACGGGGAAGGGAAACCCCCGAAAAGTATAATAAGGCCCCTCTCAATTGACATTGACACCTTGAACTTTGAGGAACAGTGACAGACTTGTTTCACAATTTTCTTGGATTTAAAAAATAAAAAATAGAATAAAAGAATCATCGGAAATAATATAATTGATAGTTGCAGCGCTAAATATCACTTATACAATCAGAAATGTAATGTACTGTATATATATTTTGGGATACTGTTTTGGCTATCCATATTTTATATATCCTCAAAAGTGGTTGCCAACATAGAAGAAAACTATAGGTTACTTACGTAACCCCAGTTCTCAGAGTAACATGAAGTGAGATGTCTCACTATGGGATGCGCCTCATCGCGGAGCAAACAGAAGCATCAATCTCATTACGCCAATCCTGATTGGCTGGTGATCTTGACGTCAGCGTCAGGGAATCTACCCCCTATAAGTAGCTTGCGCTACGCCGCATGCATCATTCAAAATTTACCTCTTCTCACTTCACCATAGCAAGGAGGGCCGTCTGGTGAGACATCTCACTTCATGTTACTCTGAGAACTGGGGTTACGTAAGTAACCTATAGTTCTCATTCGTAACACTCCGTTCGATGTCTCACTATGGGATATTGTAGCTCCCGTATTGCCAGACGAGCTTATCTCGAAAATCACCAAACCCAACCAGAATTTAACAGTTAGAGCTCTAACTCAGCAGGGGGCCCAGCACTGCATGGGCCACACTGGGAGCAGAGACGTCTAATCTGTAAAAG